GGGGAGGGGCTGGCATGGGGTGGGGCTGTGTGTCCACCTCTAGGGACCTCCTCCCTTTGCGGAGCCACCGGCCCTCCCACCATCCAGCTGGGCCAGCAGAGGCCTGCAGCAGCGGCTGTTTTCGGCTTCCCTTGCTTGTTGGCTGGGTCCTTAAAGGGCAGTTGTCGGTGCTGTTCGAGCAGCAATGTGGTGTCGCCCACTCTGGGAGGAGCCCCTCCCCTTGTCTGCGCTGAGGTCACCTGCTGGACGGCCTGTAGGCTCCACTCTTCCTGATCTCAGGGCAGTAGAGTTGCCTGACCGCCCAGGGCGGTCGTCCGGGGGAACTGGCCTGGGGCATCTGCCCGGCCCCGGCTGCGCCTTGACCATGTATCTGGGTCCGAGCTGGTAAGTCCTGACCGGAGGGGGCAGGTGACTGGATGGGGCGTGCTCCTGGCTGCGGCTGCCGCTCAGCTTTCTTCCCTCCTCTCGAGCTCTCATCTCGGCCTCGAGTGTCCGGCCTCGTGAGCCTTTCTCTCCTCTGCACGGTCACAGTAGCGGCCGGAGCTTATCTTTCCAAACCCGCTTCAGGAGGGGACGAGGGAGCGCGTTCTAAGCGAGTTCATCTCTAGAGGAACCCGCGTGTTTGTCTCACGACCCCGGGCGCAGGATTCCACCCGGAGACGGGGCTTTGAACGCAAAGCCGGCCCGGCCTGGACTTGGGTGTGGCCTCTCCCTGTGCTTTTGCTGGATGGAGGTAAACGTTGCAAAGGTTTTGTGTTTTTTGAAGGCACGGTTGAACCTTGTTGTTTTGATATGTTTTTTTAAATTGATTTTTAGAGAGAGAGGAGGGGAGAGGGAGAGACAGAAACATCGATGAGAAACGTTGATCGGCTGCCTCCCGATCGCCCCCGACTGGGATCGAGCCCGCGACCCGGGCATGTGCCCCGACCGGGAATCGAACCAGCGACCTCGGTTCTTGGGTTGCCGCTCAACCACTGAGCCACACTGGCCAGGCTACACCTTGTGTCTTAAAACAAGAATCCCTGAAGGAGACCTAAAGTGCCTGATAACTGTGTGTAACTTATTTTTATTTATGTCCCAGGAGGTAGGTGTCTGTGTGTCTTCACCTGAGAGCTGAGCGCTTTGGCTTACACAGAACGTGCCAGGAGGCAGCTTTCCCAGCACCTAACGGTGGTGACTCACCCGCCTGACCTCGGGCCGCACCTCCGCTCGCTGTCGCCAAGCTGCCTGCCCTCTGTCCGAACCTGCCTGTAATTCGCCCTAATCTCCCCCTGCCTTCCAGGGCTGCCAGCCAGACTCCCGGAAATCATGCTGGTGGGATCCCAGTCCTTCTCTCCGGGGGGGCCCAATGGCATCATCCGCAGCCAGTCGTTTGCGGGGTTCAGCGGCCTTCAGGAGCGGCGGTCCAGGCAAGTCGGGGGGCCCCTCCTGGGATGCAGCTGAGAACCACGCGCTTTGCTCTGATGCCACGAGGAGTGTCTGTGTGCACGAGGCCTCGTCAGCGCACACACGCACACACACGCGTGCACACACGTCCTACTTTAATCCCAGTGTTCAAAGAGACGTCAGCCGCCACAATTCTTTTATCACGTAGAATCTCTGGCCAAGGTGGCTGGAGATGTAGGAAAAGCTACTCGTGTAGCCCCCCACCCCCCCTGCACCCCCATTTCTTAGATCTTTGGGAAAATATCACCAAAGAGACCCCTCATGTTTGAGCCCGTTGGTCCTCTCACCGGCGACAAGAGGCTCTGCCTTCTCCACACCTGCCGACGCAGAGCGTTTTCTAAACATTTCCCGGTGTCTCATGTCCCCCCTCATGAGGTCAAATGTCCCTTCGTATTTTTCCCCCTTTGTATTCACTTTGGGAATAACTCGGTCTGCGTGTGCCTGTTGGGGGTGGATATTTGCGTGTATTTTCTCTGTCCACTGCACCCCCACAGGTGGCCCTTTTCTCACGGGTCTGAGTTCCTACCTTTTTTTCTTTTGTACCTTTTGACCCCCTTCGCCCGTTGGGCTCACCGCCCACCGCAGCCTCTGGCAGCCACCCACCTGGCCTCTGTGCCTGTGGCCTTGGTTTGTTCGTGAGGGGGGTGGTGTTTACACATATAAGTTAAATCACAGGGTATTTGTCTTTCCCCGACTGATCTCACTCAGCATAGTGCCCGCTAGGTCCATTCGTATTGTCCGAAATAGCAAGATTTCATTCTTCTTAATAATTGAATAATATCCCACCGTGTGTATAGATACATCACCCTTTCTTCAGTCATTCGTCCGTCTGTGGGCACGTAGGTTGTCCCCACATCTCGGGTACTGTAAACAACGCTGCAGGGAACATAGGGGCCCATACATCTTTCTGAGTGAGTATTTTTGCTGCCTTTGGATAGATACCCAGAAAAGAAACTGCTGGATCATGGCTGCCTCCGAGCCCCTCGCAGAGACTCTGGATCTTATATCTAAACAGCTTACTCCATGAAAACAAAGCTTAAGAAAAACCTGTCAGCCCACTCCGTGTGCTGTTCTTTAACACTACACCGAATGAGCCGTTCGTCATGCTTACGGCTCTTTATCTAAAAGGTTTTCATTCACACCCTAGTCAAATTTAGTAGACACTTGTGTCTGACGTGGCTAATGCACATGTGTTTTAGTTGGTTTATGTCCTTCTGCCCGTTTCTTATTTCCTCCTGGGAGGGTGTGTCCTTGGCTTCCTGGGGGGGGTGTCTCTGTGACGTGACCCACCTACTCGGAGTGCACGTCACCTGAAGCCAGGCTTTGACTCCAGGAAGCCACTGCCCAACGAAGCTTCCAGATTTCAGCAGTTACATCCAATACCGAGAAACACAGTACAGGCTGGCTCGGACGTGTCAATACACAGGGAATGTCACCTTCCCCAAAAGACACAGATACAAACACAAGGTGATTGAAAGGCATTCCTTTCGTCCAATTCTTCTGGATGCCTGAGCCACAATTTCTGCTTTCTCTCTTTTTCCACAGATGTAACTCCTTCATTGAAAATTCTTCCGCTCTCAAGAAGCCTCAGGCCAAACTGAAGAAAATGCATAATTTAGGACACAAAAACAGCAGCCCCCCCAAGGAGCCGCAGCCTAGGAGGGTGGAAGAGGTCTACAGGGCCTTGAAAAGTGGACTTGAGTAAGAGCATCGGAGCTGAGCATGAGCTGAACCCCTCTCGTTTCTAAAATGCTGGGGGGGTGGAGTCAGAGGGGAAAACTAGTCTTATGAGATCACATTAAAATGTCCATTTCTGTAGCAGATATTTCATTCTTGCACTGTCACCAAGGAAGACTTAAATGAGTCCCAAAGATGGGACATCGGTCGGGTTTTGACGGGGTGTCCCTAACACGGAAGGAGACCCGGAATAGCCGTGTGTCTCTCTTGACCTCTGTAGACAGAGCGTTGGGTTCCAGTAAACAATGTGGACAGGTGGGTCAGTTCCAGAGGCGGCTGAAGGAGGTTCTGAAACCTTCCTGAGCCTGTTACAGGGACTGTTTGCCCGGAACACACCTTCCCGCCCACATGGGAACACACCCCGGTCAGTGCCGGAGGAAGCCGACCGGGCTCCGTGAGCCCAGGCCCGGGGCGACTCGNCCCTCGCCCGCCCCCCCCCCACTGGTTTTTCTGTTCTGGGCATTCAGCCTCCGGGGGATTCACCTTTTGACCACCTGGATGTACCAGAGGCAGTTGCTGGAGCTTTAAAAATGCTGAGAGATTGGGGAATGCAGCCCTTGTCCCGCCCGCCGCAGAGGCTGGGTCTCGGCCCTGGAAGGAGGGGGCGGCACTGACCCGTCGGCCGCGGCGCTCACGGCTGTGCCTCCTCCTGTCTCTGCAGCGAATACCTGGAGGTTCACCAGACGGAGCTGGACAAGCTGACCGCCCAGCTGAAGGACATGAGGAGGAACTCTCGCCTGGTAGGTGCCCCGCGGTCCTCGGCGCGTCAACCTGGTGGGGTTTTTGTGGTTGTTTGCTTTTTTAATTTTTTTTTATGGTTTTTGTTTGTTTGTTTTGGTTTTTTTGGCCAAGTATCTTCTCCCACCGGATGGAGATATGGGTACAAAGAGGAACCTTCAAGAAAAGCAGACCCAAGGGACCGAGTGCTATTTGTTTTCTAATGTATATTTTCATGCTTTATTCTTAGTACATTTGAGTATTTCCCAAGCATGTTTATGCAGATAAACTGTATAATCAGGAAAAAATACTCCTTATATCCCTCCCTTGACAAATACAAGGAAATGAGAAGTTGGAGTTTCCCTTGAATGTGGTTAGTATGGAATTAGGGGCCCAGAACTTCTGCTTTATCTCCTATTTTTATTTTTATTTTTTAAAAATATATCTTTATTGATTTCAGAGAGAAGAAAGGAGAGGGAGAGAGAGAGAGAGAAACATCAATGATGAGAGAATCATTGATCGGCTGCCTCCTGCAGGCCCCCGACTGGGGATCGAGCCCACAACCCGGGCATGTGGCCTGACTGGAATCGGACCCCGATCCCCTGGATCCTAAGTCAACGCTCAACCTCTGAGCCACGCCCGGCCGGGCTATCTCCTATTTTTTTTTAAATGTAACAGGGAGTGAGGTCAGAGAAGAGAGGCAGGCCCTGGAGGTCCCTGCTGGAAGCTGGGGGGCTCCTCGGGCAGTTCAGCCCCCGTCCTCTTGTTCGAGATGCTTCCATTTCCTCTGTTCTAATGACTTGTGACCTTGGAGACGTATTGCTAACATGTCCACTATTTTAAGTGGTTTTGTTCACATCTAAGGACCCTAACATCGTAATGTTCCAGGCATCGGAAAGCCCAGAGAAAGTCTGCCTCCACCTGGGAGGTACCACGACCCATTCACAGCTCTCATCTCTTTCGGTTTGGGGAGATGGGCTCAAATGCACACTGCTGTCCCCAAGGCGTTACAGGAGTTGAGGGTTTACATTGTGATGATGCTGGAGTATAAATGGGCTTCCTCTGTGTGGCTGTCCTGTGAGATGGCCTTGAGGGGTTCTGATGCCCTTGACCGGCCTCAAGGGCAACCAATGTCCCTCCTTGGAGAACAATGGGCAGTGGAAGGTGGGGCTTCCGCCGGGACCTAGGGTTCCACAGACACCCTCCCCGTGGGGCGTGTGAGGATTGTGTACAAACTCCAGTGATGCTGTGAGCACACAGGATATGAACTTTTTTTTTTAAATCCTTGCCGGAGGATATGTTTATTGATTTTAAAGAAAGGGAGAGAGAGAGGAAAACATCAGTGGGTCGCCTCCCGTATGCACCCCTGCAACTAGGCTTGTGCCCGGACCAGGAATTGAACCCACAACCTTTTTGATTCCTGGGATGACGCCCAACTAACTGAGCCACCCAGCCGGGGCCAGGAACCTATTTTTCAAACTATTTGTGAGATGCATGTGACCACCCTCATGGACGCCTCTTAAATACCAATTTTACCTGTTTAAGCAGAAAGGCCAGGATATGACACATATATCACGGCTACATTTTATGTTCACACCATTAATTTTTTTTAAATTAAAAGTGACTGTGAATTTGTGTCCCTTGGTATGTAAGAGAAAAGAGCATAAAGCACGTGAAACCCTTAATGCTTCTGGGGGCAGAGAGGTCTGAGTGGGATTCTGGGGACACACTGTATAAATAAATAGTGGCTCTTAAAAGTACTCTTACTGGTATTTAAAATAACCCAGGTTTTTGCTCTTTTCAAGCAATGTAAAAAAAGCCAGCAGAACTTTACGGGCCAGTCATTATTTCACTGATAACACTGAAACACAGACAAAATCCCTCTATTATTATCAGTAACAATTGTGAGGAAGATATGTTTTAACCCAGATACTCTTTTTTATTTTTATTTTTTAGGGTGTGCTGTATGACCTAGACAAGGTGAGTGACTGTTCAGCC